CCCTCCCCCACCCCCACACACCCCATCTCCATGACTTCTGCTGTGAGGAGCAACTCTGTCTTCATCTCTGTCAGCATCACTTCTCCAGTCAACCACTTAAAAGTTTCCTTGGTGGCCCTCTTCCTCACCCTTGCCTGGCTGAGCTACACTGCCCCCGCCCCCCGTTGGTCTGCTCTATTGCCTTGGACTAAGGGTGGATGTGTCTACTTTGGGGTCTCTTCTCTCATCTTGTCTTTCCCATCATGCCTTTAGGCCCTCAGCTCCCACACAGGCCCAAACTCTCAACGCATTCACACAAGTCCCTCTTGGTTGAACAGGAGGAACCAGCCCCATTACCCTCCATCAGCCAGTTCAGCCAAGTTTATCTCCAGAAAACTAAACCAAAAAAACAAAAACCAAAAAGAAAAAAGAAAACCCCATAAATCCCGAACGTCCACTGCCTCTTCCTACTTAAGCCCCACTACTGAGTGGAGCATGTGTGAAGGCTGGTCTCTCTTCAGTTCCAGGACACCCAGATATCTGGTGGCGGCCAGCTCCCATTCTTCTTCTTTTAAATGAAGCATAGCTGAAGTTTATTAAGATATTTGAAAAGTAGATCTTAGGAGCAAAGAGAGGTGTTTTATCTCTTGCCTGCAGCCCCAGTAGCCTCTGGAGTCTCCTGAAAGGAAGAAAAGTAACCCCAAAGCATGCTTCCCTAAGAGGGAACTAGCTCCTACCCTATGCACTCTAGGGCTCCATGGATGAGCAAATACTCCCCACGTGGGTTTTCTTTACTTCTTGCTGATGTTGCTGGAGTAGAATCTGGGGCCTTGCCAAAGCTAGACAGCTAGCTACTCTATAGTAACAACACCCACAGACTGCCCTTGGGTACCACAGTGGCTGGGCTATTGCTAAACCCTGAATCTTTCCCAAGACATGGTTCCTGCCTCCCTCTCCTTGATGGGGATGTCCTTCTGTATGCTGTTAATGTATGTTTCTCTTACTGGTTGATGAATAAAACACTGATTGGCCAGTAGCCAGAAAGAAAGTATAGGCGGGGCTGCCAGACAAGGAGAATTCTGGGGACAGGACACAGAGGCTTAGACATCACAGAGATGCCATTTGCTACCAGGAAGATAGGACATCAGGGGCATTCTCCAGTAAGCCCAGACCATGTAGAGATACTTAGATTAATAGAAATGGATTAATAATTAAGAGATGATCCCTGATGGGAGGCAACACCCTCCCTGGGGAGTGAATGGGGGTGGCATGGGAGGATGGGAGGGAGAGGGAACTGGGATTGATATGTAAAATAAGATTATATATATAATATATAGTATATCATATATTATATATTATATATAATTATATTATTAATATATATGTAATATAGAATATATATTATTAATATATAATATGTAATATATAATATATATTATAATTATATATATATATATAGAGAGAGAGAGAGAGGGAGAGAGCAAGAGAGCACTAGTCAGTAAGAAGCCTGAGCCATCGGCCAAACAATTTATAATTAATATAAGTCTTTGTGTATTTATTTGGGACTAAATGGCTGTGGACCAGGCAGAACAAGAAACTTCCGCCAACATGACCCTCCCCAGCCTGCCAGCACTGGCCACACTCAGCTACACACAATAAATGGAATAAGACAAACTCAACCCCAGCTCTTGGTCTTTGCTGCAGCTATCTCCCAGTCTCGTGTTCAAGGTTATCTGCTGCCATTTTCTCACCACTCTTTACAGTCCGTTATACTGCTAATAAACATTCAAACTGACCATGTAGCCAAGGATGGCTCTCCTGCCTGCACCCTCAAGAGGGCTACAACAGGGTGTGGTGGCGCCCATCTCTAACTCCAGACTTCGGGAGGCAGAGGCAGGCAGATCCCCAGGAGGACAGCCTGGCCTCCATACTAAGTTCCAAAGGCCAGCCAGGGCTATACCGTAAGAGCCCATCTCAGAGAGCAACAGAAAGAGTGATGGGATCACAGACGTGCACCACCACACCCAGTTTCTGTAGTTCTGCGTGGTCAAACCCAGGGCTTCCTGAATGCTAGCCAAGCCCTCTACGGAGCAACATCCAATTCCTGGTGCTGACCATGCCCAGTTGGTGGTATCACTAATCAGGATTTCTCCCTACACACGTATGTGTGGGTTCATGTGTACGTGTGTGCATGGAAGCCAGAATATGAAGTCAGGTATCTTTTCCTTAATTGCTCTCCACCTTCCTTCTGAGACACAGTCTCTCACTGAACCAGGGACCCTCCTGTCTCCCCAATGCAGCACCCAGCTTTTATGTGGGTTCTGGGGATCCACACTCAGGTCCTCAGGTTTGTATGGCAAACGCTTAGCCAACTGAGTCACCTTCCCAAATCTGTTGCATTTTTTTTTTTCTGAGACAGGGTTTCTCTGTGTAGCTTTGGAGGCTGTC